TGTGCCTTTATGTGGGAAGAGGCATGGCTATGACATTGGGATGAAAAGGGCAATGCCCTTCACTTTATGCCCTTAATCTGTGATATAGGGGTAATGGTAGATACTGCCAAGGGCATTGTGCAGCTTTGTTCAGTCACAGTTTTGAAGCATTTTGAGGTTCTCTAATGGAAAGCACTGCAGATGTGCCACATCACATCAGTGTATTTTAACTAATACAATGAACTAATTGTAGTTAGATTGCGAGCTCCTTAGTGATGAAAACTTGACCGTCAGTGTATTTTGGCATGTACCATGCATGCCTAAAGAGGATAAAGGTTTAGTCCAAAAATTTAAAAATAATTGGAAATTTTTAATATCTCCATTTCAGGACATCCAATTCAGTGCATCTAAAACGAGCCTGCTCTTCAGGAAGTGCTGATCACCTACCTTTGAAAATCTGGCTCTCAAAGGTGTCTCAAATTTGGCACCCTCAGTCTTACCCATCAAGTTCAGCAATTTTGGCTCTCTTCCTTACTCAGAATAATAAATTCTGAGTCCAGTTCCCCAGGGCGTGGGTGATCCTACAACACAAGAGTCAAGGCACATGGGTGTGGATGCCCAGTGAAGTTTGTGGGTCATTGAAGACAACAGGGAGGGGTGACCTTACCTTGCTTATTTGCTTCGGGGGAAAGGTAACAGGCGAGGGAATCGGTCTGGGTGCTTGGCGCATGCTGGTGTGCTCTGCATCATGGGTGGTCAGCAGGTAGCTGAGCTGAGAAGCTGTAAGCTGAGCTGCTATTAAGTGTGCTGAGTTATTTAATGCTGAACTGAGAAGCAGGCACTGCACTCCCAGGAGATTTGATGCCCTTGGCTAATTGGATGATGTGTACATTCCTGATAGCCTGCAGTCAGTCACTCCCATAAACAGTCACCAGATACTTTGCTGCCCTGGACAATATCCTGTTCTCCCTGTGTGGCAGGGACAGCCCCACTAAGCAGACAGCAGGATCAAGTGAATTCACGTTACCTTTAGGTGGTTTTTATTGGGCATTAATTAAAAAACTAAACAAGAGCCAAGTGTTATACAGGAAACATCCTCAAGAGATGGAGTGGCCTGCTTTGGAAGGCTACAGGGGTTTTAAAATAGATCTAGTCGCTGTAAGCATTGCAAGGATAATTTAGTGTTATTTTGCTCATAGCACTCAAAATGCAAAGGTTGAATAGCATTAAATCTTCCACTGCAAGCTGGCGACATGATTCTGGCAGCAGCCTAAGGAAAATCCAGCCTTTACCTGCTAGCCTTTACCCTGTATCTCATTGCCCATTGTCAGTGAGGTAGAGCATTCAGCTTTCACCATCAGTTGCACAGTCGGAAGATGCTCAATTTTAGCTTGTTTTTGCAAGTGTTATCTCCAGAACTTGGGAAGGAGCTTCTGGGCGACTGCCAGGTGGGCATAGCCCACTTCCCAGGGCTCCCTCCAGAGCAGTAGCAAAGGAAATGAGCAGATAAAAACTTTCTTGTCTGGATCAGGCTATCTCTACATTAAGGAAACTCCCATCGGTAGAACTACATCAGTGCAGCTTTACCAGCATAACCCCTACCATAGGCAAGGCCGCACCAGTGCAGAGCAGGGCTTCATCTGGTGACAGGTTAAAATAAACTGCATTGGATAAGCCTTGCTTCATGCCAGGTAGGCATGTTTGTATTAGGTACTTGCCCTGGTGAAGTGACATAGAGATGGAGATGGTATAACTACATCACTTAATATAGACAGGAAGCCAGAGTTGTCATGATGCTAAAAGTGAGAGACAGAATGGGTATTTTTCTCAGTTATGTATTTATTGTGGTGGAATAGTTTACACAAAGGTATGAAGCACAATCTAAGGAGCAGCACTTCAGTATTTGAACCTTCTTTTGCCTAAGGTGACCCCTTGGCTTATAGAGTGGAAACTGCTGAAACAGGATCAGTGGAACATAATGTCCATTCATGCTTTCAGACAAGCACCACAATGATGCTCCAGAACGTACGTTCCTTGAGGACTATTTTACTAGCACGCTGAGGATGATATTATATTACACTGAAAATAAACTGGAAAAATACTGAGTTAGTGTGACTCAAGGGAAAAAAATTGATTCCTGATGTTTATGCTAGGATACACTCCAACTCCCATTTGAAGTTAATGGGAGACTTTCCATCTCCTTCAATGGGAATTGGACCAGGTCCTGGGAGTTTAACAAAGAAAAGCTAAAACTAGTGGTAAGTACAGTAGTTATTACAAATAGGGCAACTTAAAAGGTTATATTGTAGACCAGAGGTTGAATGGTGCAAAGCTGATAATTTGCTCAAATGTAGTATTGAATACTTCTTTACAACTCTATAGCATATTTTATATGAAAGTTTCAAAGCATGTTACAATTATTAATTGAGCCGTCCAACTGCTCTGTGAGGTAGGCACTGTTATGAGTAACACTATTTTGTAAGCGGGTAACATTAGACAAAGTGGGAAATACCCAAAGTTAAAGCATAACTTGGCAGATCAAACTATTAGAAATATTACCCCACCATGAGAAACTAAACATCATTTAATCTACTTTGGTTTTTTTCCTCGAGTTGTAAGTTTTTCAGGGTTCTCTGTAACATGCATACATGTCCAGACTTTTTGTATTAACTTAAAACTATCTGTGTTTCAAAGGGCGCATCTGTATCCCATTCAACGAAGTAATACTTTTAGCTGTAGATGTGTTGCAAATACTTGAAGTAAAATTTTCAAAACATTCATATGATTTAGGAGCTAGCATCCCATTTTCATCTGGATTTAGGATTTTTGTCTCAAGGAAAGTCTCAAGTCTCTTATTTGCATTTGAAAATCTTTTCTTGCTTTTAACATATATACCTGCATTAGATTATATTTTTAATATACAACTGATAATTCATCTTAGACAGCAGTGCATTGCTGTCTGCAAAGCTAGCACCAGTGGAATGGCTCTACAATAAAGTCAAGCTTCAAATTTTAATCTCTTTATGAGCCACATCCTGTTTTCAGTTAACTGATCGCATGTGGGGGAAATTTACCAGAGGAAATATGTCGAGTTTTGGAAAGTACCAAAAACTTATCTCTAGTTTCTTAGTGTAATTCAGTACCTTCTAAGATAAAGGTGTCATATTTAGAGAACTGTGAAGGCAAAAGGAACTCCTGAAGCTCACTTAACATAGTCATACAGCTTGTTAGCATAGTGAGGCTATTTGTGCCCCTTTTCATTCAGAAACAGAAATTGACCCAGCAGTATTGCACCAGCCCTTCTGAAACCAGTAATTCAAACCTCTTTGCAGCTCCATCATTTAAAAATGACCAAACCTCTTCATGGGTTGAAAGCTTTTCTTAAAAAAAAATAATTCACATCCTGGCTGAGAATTTCTGTGCCAGATTTGAACTCGCTGTGTGTTTTAACAGTTCTAAAACTGTGAAACGGAGAGGTTTATAGTGGAAATACTTAGTGATATTTCCCACCAGCCATTTATAACGCTCATGTTAAAGGTGTATAAGTGTTTCCATATGAACTTTTGGTAGCACAAAGGATGACATTATAATTCATGACCTGTCTGTACTGCGTGCAGAAATGGGCACATCTAGGAACAAATTTGTAGCACGTGGGAGGGAGGACATATAAAGGAGAAATGTAGAGGTGTTAGGGTTCACCTGGTACTCAGGCTAAGCTCCTACACACTTATGTGGCCCTTAATGCTTGAACTAATGACCATAAAAATAACTTTACCAAAATTTCCTCACATTTCCACTTTCACAGTCTCATTAACTATTATCATTAACACAAGAGTGCTTATTTTTTAAAAGATAACACGTGCAGCCACCACAGTTGTTGGCACAAACCAGCCAAGGGTTAACATTCAAAGCAGTCACTTTCTGGCAAAGCAAAAGTCCAAATTCTGTTGTCAGTGACACCGACCGCAGTAGGATTATGCACCCATAACTGAGAGAGGAAGTTCAGGTAGAGGGGTAGCATTTTGTAATTGTTCTCAGTTCTCGTTACTTACAATGACATAAGCATGGGAAACTTCTTAGAACAATTGCTTGAACTCCTAAAAGAATTTGACCCTTATCTCTTAAAATACCAGTCACCAGAAAATGCCAGTTATTCGCCTCTAAATTCCCTGAATGGATTAACTGACAGCTGTGATTTGAAAATAGACATGGACCATGAAACAAAACAAGCTGTAATGTTTTCTGTTCTGGATAATGGAGCTTGAAATGATAAAGAAAGCTAGCAGCTGGTTGGCTGTTATGCTGCATAAAGAGACTCCATTTTTCAGTCCATTTTTTCTGAGTGTTTTTAGTGTTTCCAGGTATAGTGCTTATAGCATGTAATTTTCACAGTAGTAAGCGAATACAGAAATAGCTCTTTTGTGTGTGCTCTACTCTGCCCAATTCACATCTGCCCAGAGAATAGCTATTGTAGGTCCTACATACAGCAGGGATATCTCGCTAAATATTTTGCTTTCAACATGTACTTGATTTTTAAATCTAGCTGCTGCTTTGAAATCTAGAGAATATTTTTCAGCAGAAAGTACAATTTGTTCCTGTACTGCATGCTGTTGTGCATTTGAGGTGGGAGGGAGAGTTTAATGAAAAGATTTCCGGGTAAGTACATCTGTGCCATGGATGTGATAGAACACTAAAAAAACCAAAAAAAACAAAACCAAGAATAACATTGCTTTATCATGCTGGCAAACAAAAAGGCTGAGTCACATAGCAGCCATGTGAGCAGAGCTGCTGAATGTTTTTGAGCTCTTTGTGAGGCACGTGAACTTAACAGTTTATTACAAAATGTGAAAAACATGGCAGGAAGTTCCAGCTCTCATCTAAACAGCTCTTTCAGCATTTCTATAATACGTAACAGAAAGTATATGTGAAGAATAAGAGAAATGTCTTAGGGCAGGCGCTGTGTCTTCATTTGTTGACAAAAATAAGTATTATTTATTTAATAACAATGTAGCATTTAATAAAAAGCATGCTCAAGCCTAAAATAATCCAAGATTCACATCTAATTGACTGATACCTTTAAAGTAGACTTGTTGAGTACTTCTGTCTTTTATAGCCATTCATACAGCATTAAACACCCTGGATGTGGGAGCTGTTGCAAATGCATCAGACAAGCGTGGCAGTTAGACTACTGCTTCCTGTCTTTTCTCCCAGGGATCCTAGCCACCAATTGCAAATCACCAGTTCTTTTTAATAGAAGAATTCCTAGACTAATCTGCACTTGCTCTGTCATTTTCCATCTAAGGGTTTAGTCCTGCTTGGTGTGGAGTGTCCTCAGTACCATTGTGTGATTCTTCTATGAGCCTGGCTGTCCTCTGGGGGTGGAAAAGAAAACCAAGTTCTGATAATGAAACCTTCCTTAATAAAAATGTCTCCTTGTTCCTCAAATATAGTAACTTTCACATTTCTTTGAGCATCTCAAGTGACTTTATGTAAGTTAATTAACTCTCCCAACGCCTCTAAGAAGTACAAAAGTATGATTGTTTGCATTTTACAAATCAGAAAACTGAGGCATGGAGAGTAAGGTGACTAGCCCAAGATTTCGCAGTGATTCAGTGGCAGAGCTGAGAAGGAAATCCATGAGTCTGGGGTTTTATATCCCAGTTCTGAGCACTAGACTCCCTCTACGCACTCAAATGAGAGGGGTCCAAGTAGCATTTTTCCCTGGGATCGTGTCTTTTGACACTTACGGGGCTTTGACCTGACTTTATCCTGGGATGGCCCCAAGCATGCTGCACACGTCAACTGTGCTGTAACTGGTTCAGAGGTTCCCTGATTCAGCTGCATGATCAAGAATTTGGTTCCTAGGTGTCACCTTTGTTTATCTTGAGTTCTGGACTCGGTTTTGAAATCCCAGGCTAGTGGCTTGGGATTAATCTCACGTATCAGCCGAAGTCCTGCTAGGGGTAGCTGAGGAAGGGAATGGTTGTGTTCCTGACCACTGAAATTCCCTCTGCTTTTAGGACTTGAGGAGTACGGGGTCAATAAGGTTCTCTGACCCAGACAGCAAACTTCTTTCTGGTTTCGGTCTGTCACTGTGTTGATTTAGTCTTTGCCGTGGCTTTGGTGAGCAATCTGTAAGGGGTAAAATGAATGGTATGCTGTAATTGCGATATTGCAGTGCACTTTAGAAAATGAAGATTTGTAACTATAATTTTTGCCTTTTGCTTGTAAATTATATACTTGACTTCCATGCCACAGCACCGATTATTTACTAATGCTAGCATTATACTGCAGCAAAGTTGCAATGTAAACAAGATCCATCCACAAATTTTAGTACAGATCAAAGGCCTGCATTCAGATGACTTTAGGTATGAAAGGAGATTCAGGTTCACCACCTCTGGACACATTACTGCAAAATCCAGCAGTCTAAAGAGAAAAGTAAGAATTCACTCATTTGGAACAGATTAATAAAATAATCTAATACTTCATGAACATTATGAAAAGATCAGATTAAAATCATATTTTACAAAAATAAACAGTCCTCTTGTTATAAAACTTAAATTGATTAAGACTGTCTGCAGGGTGCTCACATAGCTCCAGTTGCAGAATCAGGGGTTTACTTTTTCTCCCATTCTTCTTTGCTCTTTATCATATTTCATTCATCTTTATATGGAAAAATAGATGAGATTGGCACTGTCTGTGAGAGAAAATTAAAACAGTTTCTGGTATTCTCCACTAGCAAATACAAGGACATTTTTAAACATCCCTAGGTTGTTTTGTGTGAGTAACAACAAAGGAACACAGGGAAGAAAACTCCAAAATATTACTCATTCATCTTCTGTAAGATTAAAAAAACCCCACAACACTTAAATTTAGCCTTAGATGACTTTTCAAGATCTATTTAAAAGATCCGAAAGAGTAATCCAGTAATTTTGATAATGTTTGGACTGATGATCATGGCTCCCCCCTGCCCCAAAACAGCCTCAATGTTAGGATTCTGAATTTCTGTTTAGACAGCTAAAAGTGGTGATTATCAGAAATGTCCAAGTGATTCAGGAACACAAATCCTACGGAAAAGTAGCACTTCTGAACACTATGGTCATGGGACTTACGCTGTATCCACTCTGACACCGTGTGGCACAGGCTAAAAGGCAAGATGGATCTACGGTCTGACTCAGTAAATGGCAGTTCTTATGGTGTAATCACTTGTATGCTTTTGAACTTCCCATCTTTACACACTTCAATCTGTGAGTTGTCCTACTGAATTTACATGAATAAAAGTAGGAAATACTTAACTTTTCAACACACACAGCAACTTAAAAGGGAACATCCTTACAGAACAAGAAGACTTGCATTGTTTTGAGTGATTAGCAATTTCATACATTGCCATTAAATGGTATGATGTATTTTGCTTCAGAACTCATTCATTTCTATTCAAATTGATAGATTTGTTACTCAAGACCAGATGCTTGTTCTTTGATCAAACTATTTTTTTTAAACTAAACTAGTTACAGAAGCTCATTCCTCTACATTGCAAACGATGGAAATAGGTTATGTCCTTGACAGTTTGTTTAAACTGGTACTTATGAACTGAAATGGATACACACCTGAACTGTGTAAACTGTTATTGAAACTAATACATTTATTATCTAGTTTTTATTCCAGTCAATACAAATCTAATACACACCAAGTTTTAAGGCTTCTGCATTGAGAACTGACATCAATATGGCCTAATTCGGAGTAAAAGGCTTAGTCCTAAGGCACAGTGTAATACTGCAGTGTTATAGTCAATGGAATTACTCATCTGAGTAAAGTTATATGCCTGTGTAAGCATTTGCAGAATAGGGGCCATGGTTTGGTCCAGACTAACCTGTTTACTTAGGTCAGAGTCTTGCAGCTGAGCTTGGCATGAATCCTTTTGTCTACATGAAATCTGTTGCTGGATCCAGGCCTTAAACTCCTTATGCTTTTGAAACCAGCACATACATGAATGTGTAAATGCTAATGTACACGTGCTCGGTGAATCTGCTGTCATCTAAAAAGGAGTTTGGAAAAAAGGTCCCACCGAAACATGAGTAAAGCAAACACCAGTACCATAAATTAATACAACTGCAATCATTTCTAGAAACAAGCTGTTGTCCTTGCTGCTTTGTGTTTTGCACTTTCTTGATTCCTGATCCCACATCAGTGAATCCTCAAAGTCTGACATCCATTCAATCCTGGCAGTTTTCCTGTGATCGCCTAGTCCCCTTCCTCTCCCCCACATCTTCTCCTCTGCCATCAGAGAAGCATCTGGCAGAAACTCCTGTCCTTAGTCCCTTGTCTTTGTACTACTGTGTTTTGCCCTGTTCCTATTGCACCCTTCTCCAGAACTCCCGGTTCTTTCCATACGATAGCCTGATCCTCCTCTGCCTTGACAATGCCTCCTGACTTGTCATCTGCAAAATCCATCGGTGTGTGCCCACTTCTTCTGTCAGGTCTTTAATGCAAATATTTAAGGGGATCAACCCCAAAGCTGCTGCCCCTGGGGAACCTCCCCATCTGGCCTGTCCCCTTTGGCTCTAGCCCTTCAGCCAAGTCCTTAGGACCAGTCTCCTACTCCTTATCCTGGTCTACTGGACCAGCGTCCTCATCCATGACTTCTGGACCAGTTTCCTACTCTTCATCCCAGTCTACTGGACCAGTCTCCTGATCCCGATCTACTGGACCAGTCTCCTGATCCCCATCTTCTGGACCAGTCCCCTACTCCTCATCCCAGTCTACTGGACCGGTCCCCTACTCCTCATCCCGGTCTACTGGACCGGTCCCTTACTCCTCATCCCGGTCTACTGGACCGGTCCCTTATGTTGCATCCCGGTCTACTGGACCGGTCCCCTACTCCTCATCCCGGTCTACTGGACCGGTCCCTTACTCCTCATCCCGGTCTACTGGACCGGTCCCTTACTCCTCATCCTGGTCTACTGGATCGGTCCCTTACTCCTCATCCCGGTCTACTGGACCGGTCCCTTACTCCTCATCCCGGTCTACTGGACCGGTGCCCTACTCCTCATCCCGGTCTACTGGACCGGTGCCCTACTCCTCATCCCGGTCTTCTGCCTGCGGCACCAGGCCAAACAAAGAGATCTGGCCCCTGCCCAGCTCTGCAGCAAGGCAAGGCAGCGGGGGAGCCTGGCCGCAGCTGC